TCTTATGATTGTTATTTATTTATATTTGAAATAAAAAAAGAAAAAAAGAAAGAAAGAAAGTGCGTAGGCAAAGGGCGCGAGTGAAGACGTAAGGGAGATTGGCGGTGGAGGGCGGGGCCGTTTTAGTGAAATGGTCTCCATGGTGTGGGACAGACCTGACATTTTGAAAAATTGTTTAATCCCACGTGTCCATTTCTTCTTCGCCAACTCAACTTCTCAAGTGAAGTTGCAACTTACTAATAAGTATCTCTTAATTATCACTCCTTTTGACTTATTACACCTTAATCCCATCATTTTCCTTAAATTATGACTTTTTTCTCCATGCATTGGATGTGGCTCCTAACCTTTCAATGCGTGAAGCCGTCACCCATTTATATTTTTTGTTTTTACTTAAATACCACTTTTATTTTTTAATTATTAATCGATAATAATATAAAGTAATATTTGTCTACTTTAATAGTAGTAGTACATGAATAAAACATCTTCATAATAATCTTTTCATTACGTACTTTATAAAAAAAATGAAATAAGTTTATATCTTAAGAATATAGAAAATATATTTAACGTCTTCCTCATTTATTAAAAAATTATAAGTGGAATTATTTATAGGATTTTCTATTGTGTGTCTATTTACATGATATTCTTAATAAATAAAGAAGGAATTAATAGAAAAATGGCAAGCCAGATGCCTATATAATAGTAGAACTCTCCTATAATAAAAGTGAACGCTAAAATTTTTTCTTCTTCTGTAAAATAGTTATCGATCGATAAAAATAGTAAATATTTTATATTTATAACATAATATATATATATATTTCTCATTTAGGTACCTACAAATGTTTCAAATGATTCTATTAGTGAAAATCATCAAACTACAAGAGACCCCAAATGAGAAAAGTTAATATAGGTGAGTTAATTGAAATTCAAATAATTAAATTTTTGATACTTCATATTGACAACAATCTTTTATTTTATTTTCTGTTATTATAATGTTATGTGTGATTGGATGAATAGAAGGCTTACATATATATATATATATATATATATATATATATATATATGTAGATATAGATATTATATGTTTAAGATATTAAATACATTTGTTTCTATTAAATATTTTTTATAAAATATCACGAGGATTAATAGAAAAATGTAATATTTTATGATCTATATAAACTATCTTAATTGATAAAAATTCAAATATTTTATCATTAAACTTAAGTCCATCATATTTCAAAACAAAACAGCAAACTTAAAGGCATGCAAAAAAAGTTCTAAAAAAAAAAAAAAAGTTTGCCTATTAAAAAACTTTCTAAAAAAAATTATTCAAATATGAGTATTATCTCAAAACCATATTGATTTATTTAAATCGTTAAATTTTTTCTAATAATCAAAGTTTAAGTAGTTTTAAGAGATTCAATTTCTTTCTTTTTTTTGCTGTTGAAAAATTTACAAATGACTTATCCTTCGTATGCATTTTTCAGCAGAAACTACTGCATTATGTTTATGCCTTGTTTATTTGTATTTATTTATAAAGCTTCTACATACATCTTACTCGTGTTGTTTGTAAGACAATTTAGTAGAGAAGCTCATCATCATATCTAAATTTTTCACGTGTAAAATGTGATATTGAAGAATATCACTAAATAAAGTATAAGTAGTTTAAACTTGCTCATATTTAAAAACAAAAAATACTGTATCAAATATTATAAATAATAACTGACATATAGTAATGTATTATTGTGACTCTCAATTTCAATTTTTTATTATCAAAATTATCTTGCAGTCATGTCTTTTTATTTATCGTAATAGAATATAATGCATAAAAGCATAGTTTTAAAAACCGGACCGGTCATCGAACCGGTTAAGGTACTGGGTCAATGGGTTAAAGGTTGAACCGGTGAGTCACTAGTTGAACCGCATGACTCGATTTTTATTAAAAAATATTTATATTAAATATATTTTATACTTATAAATTTTAATAAATTCATATCTTATTTTAAATTTCAATTTTTCTATCTTATTTAAAATTATTTTTATTTTTATTTTGTAAAAAAATACATAAAAAAATTACATGTTAAACGGTATATTAATACAAATTAAAAATATAAATAATATGTACATATATAATATGCTTGCAATTAATATCACAAAATAATATATGTAATATTTACATAGATATTGCATTATTAAATATATAATTTAAAATTAATAATATACTATAAAAGTTATTTAAGTTGTATATATTGCAAACAAATATATTAGAACAAGTAGTCATTGTTATATTTAATAAGACTCCTTGCTTTTTCATTAAGAGATTCAATTTTCATTATTATTTTTGTGATTTATGGTCCCTTAAAAAAATTAAAAAAAAAAATTTTAAAAAAAGTGGTTGAACCGGTTTGACCTACCGGTTCACCGGTTGAACCGGAAAATTGACCGGTTCAATCCGGTTTGAAACGGGTCGACTGCATAACTGATCCAACTTCAGATTCGAACCGGCTGGACCACCGGTTCCCGGTCCAACCGGTCCGACCGGCCGGGTCGGTCCGGGTTTTAAAACACTGCATAAAAGTGTCATTTTCTTTCAATCTAATAATCTATTCTATAATATTTGAGTAGACATATACAAACACAAATAAATTTAATCCATTTTTGAATGAATATATATATTTCATGTCTCATTCTATCGATAAGTTTGAGACATTACTATGTTATGTAAGAGGAATGAATCATATATACATCATTCACACCCTCGACATGATTTATTGTAGATCTAATAAATGTCTTTATAATCATTTTATTATAAATAATGTTTGATAATATATTAAAGCTTACAAGTCCTAAAAGTAAGATTGATAATGATTCAATGTTGAAGGGCTACTCTGTTGGAGTGCAACGATAATGCAAGTAAGACCACCATTGAATACTCGTGGATGAAAAAAAAGACTTCTGCTTAAGGAAGTGTGTGACCATATGGAAGGGATTCACACTTGAGGATGAATGTTGTTGGAATTCAAATATGAAGTAAGTCTCACATTAGTTAGAGTTGAGCATATTGAGTAGTATATAAAAGAAAAAGACCTATCTACCTAAAAGTAAGATTGATAATGATTTCATGGTGAAGGACTACTCAGTTGGAGTGCAACGATAATGCAAATAAGACCATCATTGAATACTCGTAGACGAAAAAAAAACTTTTGCTTGAGGGAGTGTGTTACCATGTGGAAGGGATTCACACCTGAGGAGGAGTATTGTTGGAGTTCAAGTGTGAAGTGAGTCTCACATCAGTTACAGTTGAACATGTTGAGTAATATAGAAGTGAAAAAGACTTATCTACCTAATACCTTAAGGTTTTGAGTTATGATGTCATGTCAAACTCACTTGTATGATTTACTCACTACACATTGTGTAAATACTCCCTAGAGTTTAAAAACTCCCCAACAATCAACTATGAGAAATGCTTATGACATTTACATAACTATTATAAAGTCTTTTTTATAGTGAGTTTGCTTAGTATAAATATATAAGAATTATATATATATATATATATAGGGTATAATGATCCAATAAAAAGTGGAGACAAAAATTAGTTACATAACTTAGTATTTCCCTTATAATAGATATAGATATGTTGACTTATTATGTGGATTCATAACTCATGAGATGTTGTTAGTTTATTCACACAATAGTCTCAATTTGTTATTGTTGTTTTAATTGACAATAATACTTGATTATAAATATTTTAAGAATAACAAATTTTTTCTATAAAATCTTATAAATTAGTCACACTTAATATATATTTATACTGTATCTATTTTAAAGAGATAGTTTTGTTATATAATTAATAACACAATAATTAAAATGAATTATTTATATAAATCAAATATAAAAATCAAAGTTATGATATAAAAATAATTAAAAATATATCGCTCAATGAAGCTCACTCCAACATTAATGTGGATCGATTTTGGGAATTAATGTGGTGGTAGTGTTTGTCAAAATTTGGCCTTATGCCATGCATCCCCATGGTCAGCCACTCTATATTCAACTATTGAGATATTTACAAACGAATGAAAGACTCTAGTGATATAACCATCCCATAACATCCACGTGAGGTACATAAGAGATGAAAACTGTTTTACTCTGTATTATAACTGCTAACAGTGAGCCAAAACTTTACAATTGATAATCTGAATAATTTGAACACAAATATAAGCGAAACGATCATGTGTCATTTTATTTGTATAAAAGTCCACCTTGATAGAATTTTGTATAGTTGTGACAATGGTTAGAATATGACTTTCAAAGTAAAATAAAAGGAATTTTGGTTTAATTTTAAAATAAGAAATTTATTTACCTTAAAAATATGGAAGACTAAAATGATAATATGAATTAAATATAATTAGTTTTGTTTAGTCATTTTCCGTAAACATATCTACCGAATGTTAATCCGCAATTAATGAATATACTCATAGCTCTTACCTTGTAGCCAAATTCAGCTAGACTAAGGTCTATGACTCTATCCTATCATCCATCGCCTAGAAATAGAGCAATGTAGATCCTAGACAAAATATTTAGCTGTGTTGCGTGTACTTAATTTAAGCCTTTAACGGCAGTAATAAGTATTAGCGGCGCGCACTTCTCAACTCACAGTCACAGCTATGTATCATGTATCAACTCCCGTCTCCCAAAGTCCAAACATCTCTTTCTCAAATTCATATAACATGGACGCAAATTAAGTAAATATACTCAGTTTCAATTAATAATAAAACACTGTAAATGTATTTTTCTTTTTCTTTTTACTAGTATTAAAAAATAGGAAGGAGAAAATCCCAAATGGAAACAAAGTAAAACACAAAAATGTATCTTTTGGATCTTATCTGTTAGAGGTTGTGTGGTGTTTCATCGAGGATCGAGCCTGGTCACGAGCGTTTTCACCTTTTCGTTTTGATAAATATATATTTATTTATTCAGAGTTTGTGGGTGTGTGTGTGTGTGTTGTTTATAAAAAAAATAAAAAGAAGTACTTGTATATATATATAAATATAGAGAGAGATATATATATAATAATTGATTGATATTTGGGGCGTGGCATGTGTGAAGTGAAGGAGATGCAGAAGTAGTAGTAGGAGTGGTGAGAAGTGAGAAGTGAGAAGTGAGAAGAAAAAGGGAAGAGAGAAAAGTTAGTTAGTAAGCAGAGAGAAGGATGAAGAGGGAGCACGAGCAGTTAGGGTCGAACGGAGGGAGCTCGAGCGGAAAGTCGAACCTTTGGGGGGAGGAGGACGGAGGGATGGACGAGCTGCTGGCGGTGGTGGGTTACAAGGTGAGGTCATCAGACATGGCGGAAGTGGCGCAGAAGCTGGAGCGTCTGGAGGAAGCCATGGGAAACGTTCAAGAGGGAATCTCAGACCTTTCAAACGACGTCGTTCACTACAACCCCTCCGACATCTCCAACTGGCTGGAAACCATACTCTCCAATTTCGACACCCTGTCTCCGGAGGACCCGGAGAAGGACTCCGCCTCCTCTGACTACGACCTAAAGGCTATTCCAGGGAAGGCAATCTACGCACCCACGCCGCTGCCGCAACAACCTAACCCTAGCAAGCGCCTCAAACCCTCCGAGTCAACGCGCGCGCTTCTCCTCGTTGACTCCCAGGAGAACGGGATCCGCCTCGTCCACACCATGATGGCCTGCGCGGAGGCCGTCGGGACAAACAACCTCGCCGTCGCGGAGGCGCTCGTCAAGCAGATCGGCTTCCTCGCGGTGTCGCAGGTCGGCGCCATGCGGAAGGTCGCCACCTACTTCGCGGAGGCTCTGGCGCGGCGAATCTACGGCGTCTTCCCGCCCCACCACGCGCTCTCCGACGCACTCCAGATTCATTTCTACGAGACCTGTCCGTACCTCAAGTTCGCGCACTTCACCGCGAATCAGGCGATTCTTGAAGCTTTCCAAGGGAAAAGCCGCGTCCACGTCATCGATTTCGGAATCAACCAGGGGATGCAGTGGCCGGCGCTGATGCAGGCGCTCGCGCTCCGTCCCGGCGGTCCTCCCGTCTTCCGCCTCACCGGAATCGGACCTCCCGCCGCGGACAACTCCGACCACCTCCAGGAGGTCGGGTGGAAGCTCGCGCAGCTCGCGGACACGATCCACGTGCAGTTCGAGTACCGCGGATTCGTCGCCAACAGCCTGGCGGATCTCGACGCCTCCATGCTGGAACTCCGTGAAGAGGAGTCCGTGGCCGTGAACTCCGTGTTCGAGTTTCACAAGCTCCTGGCTCGGCCCGGGGCGGTGGAGAAGGTTCTCTCGGTGGTGCGGCAGATTCGTCCGAAGATTCTGACCGTGGTGGAGCAGGAAGCGAGCCACAACGGATCGAGTTTTGTGGACCGATTCACGGAGTCGCTGCACTATTACTCCACTTTGTTCGATTCGCTGGAAGGTTCCCCTGTGAACCCGCAGGACAAGGCGATGTCGGAGGTTTATTTAGGGAGGCAAATCTGTAACGTGGTGGCGTGTGAGGGAGTGGAGCGCGTGGAGCGGCATGAGACGCTGAACCAGTGGCGGAACCGGTTCAGTTCGGCCGGCTTTTCTCCGGTGTATTTGGGCTCCAACGCTTTCAAGCAAGCCAGCACGTTGCTCGCGCTGTTTGCGGGTGGGGATGGGTATAGGGTGGAAGAGAACAGTGGCTCTCTCATGCTCGGTTGGCACACTAGGCCCTTGATTGCTACCTCCGCGTGGCAACTCGCTGCGAATTCGCTGTTTCCTCACTGAGTCAACTCGCCGATTCGCGAACCACCTTCTTCTTTTTTTTTTTATTTTTTTTTTATTTTTAATTAATTTCAATTGGTGCCCACCGAAAAAAGAAAAGAAGAAAAAAAAAAAAAAGAGAAAAGGGGGAAAACTTGTGGGGATGAGAGGGCAGTGTGTAAATGTGCTATGCTGAGCTGTGAGCACTGATTGCATGAGACTGAGACCCACCATTGTCTATTTTCCTGCCCCAACTTATGTCTCTCTCCAACCCTTAATTTTCCTATTTTGGCGTAGGATTTTGATTTTCTCCCCTTTTGTAAACCTTGATTTATTTTTGGCTTTCCTTTGGGTGGAATCTCTTGTAATTTTTCAGGGTTGGAATCGAAAAGCTTAATGTGTATTTATTTTTTGTTTTTATTAATATATGTAGCTTGGCGATAATAATTTGGAATGTGTTTGTCTTTGGAAAAAGAAGTTGAAGGAGTGATTGTGATGAATGGGATTGGTATGAGCTATCATTGTCAAATTAAGAATGATGGTAGCCTGTGTCTGGGCCATGGAGCCAGCCAGCTTTGATGGAATTGGTATGACAGACAAGTAACCAAAATGGAGAATCCGCGGCTAGCTGCATTGCATTAGCACGGATAAAGCAGCTTGCCTTGTGTGGAAGAGTTGAGTGATACACAGCATCAAAGTGGATGCAACTGTAACTGCCAATGCATGTAGTATTTGCATAACAAAATTACTGCCGAATCCTCTTTTGTGTCAGTCATCAGAAAGTGAAAATCAAATTTAAAATGACAAGGATCCCCCACCTTAATATCAAGATCTTCCTAATGCTATTCCCCTTAAAAAGCTTCACTTTTAATGCTTAATTTCTTGTAATTATTGGATCCCTTGCTTCTGCATACTTTTCGTGATATGATTTTAATACTTAGTTTCACTTCTTCCTCTCCTTTGCCTGGTTATACCAAAATAATCTGGCTTTATTTCAGATTATGATATGATTTTCTGTATATCGAAGATGGCGATACTAACTGGTCTCCAATACTCTGGTGTAACTTTAATTATTATACCCAACCCAATATATCTAGTTACGAAACTACCCAACAAATAAAGCAGCCTAAAGAGATCACTGGTCAAGGCAAGAATCAAAATCTCCATTGGCTAATTCTTTTATTAACTCGGTAATAACTTTTATCGTACCAGCCACCTACAGAATATTAGTATACTATTGGACTTTCCAGGAATCTCGAGTTTCTGAGATCCTCTGGCAGATGAAACCTGCAATTTCTCCCCTTTCTATTATTTTTAAATTATTTTTTTCTCTCAATTTTAAACCTGAACAGTCTGGCAAGTGCAGAATGCACGATGAATTTCCCATGGTATAGTGTAGTAACTAAAACAAAATAATAATAAATGATCAAAGCGTTCTCAGGTGCAGACTCTGTTGTAAATTTGCAATTCCTCAAACTAGTAACGTATTGGATCAGTTATCTAGTCTAACCTCTCCCTAGTTGGTCCGGCACTCATGCCATTATAATTTAGAATAAAATTAAGACAAGAGAATATCTTCCGAGAATGCTCCCAACAACCAATATGTCTATTTGGCTGACCCATCTTACATCACAAGCTACACATTGATTAAAGTTGGGAAAATTTTAAAAAGAACAATAATTGAGTGATGACAAGCACAAAACTTAAAATGCAATACGGTGACACCCCCCTCCATGGCCACCAGGGTGAGAAGGAACAATCATATGAACCAAAAGAGACTGCCTCATCAGCATGGATCATTTAATTAGTGTTTTTTCTTGCAGGCCAGTAGATGAGTCAATGAATGAAAGATCCATATGTAGCACTCATACTCATATTGGTTTCTACGTATTGGGCCATCTTACTTGGTATATGTAATATGTTTGCCACCTTCTAATGGTATAAATATTGCACCATATACTCTACACACATGTTACCTTCTACTTGGTCGGGCCCCCACCAAAATTTTATTCTAATGGCACTTGCCCTGTTGAGTGAATTTAAAACTTTTCCGTAGATCACATCAGTTACCTATTTTAATTCTCCACATGCCGCTGTTGCTTTTATTATCTTTTCCTGGCCCTTTTCTACCGACGGGAAAGTAGATGAGGTCTCTTTCAGTTACACACATCAGCCACAATATTTTAAAAGGGAAAAGGTGAAGAAAAAAAAAAAAAAAGGTATCTTGAAAAAATCTCTTAAACAATTATGAGTGAGTGGTACATGGAGAAGCCAAGTCAAAGCAAAATTGCTGCTTGCTGGGTGCCTACTCTAGGATCATGAAAGGAATTATGCAAAATAGAGTGAGGGGTTAAGTTAGTCAAAGACATTATTGTGGACATAGAATACTACATGTATTAAGAAAGTCAAGGGTGATTTGTGAAACAGGAACGGGATGGTGTTTTCGAAATGGATTATTGGAAGATGGTGAATGATAATGCGGCGGTGCCTCTACATAAATGTGTGTGGAAGTTAGGTGCATGTGTTGAGTCACATTGTTATGATGGACAGTGTCTCAGAGGGTCTGAATCACTCGTGTGGTTACAACAGTTAAGCATGTGGGGGACCTGAATGTGACCTGCTGCCGTTCTTGGACGGTAAACAATGCTCATTGTGCATGCCTTTGGGCTTTCTTTGACCACACCATTGCTAATTGCTATTGCTATTGCTATTGCTATTGCTTGCTCCTCTCCCACCCTTCCACGTTTTTACTTCTATTGCTTTTCCTTTTCTTTATCACTTTTTTAAAAGGATAAAACTTCTTAGATATAATATATTTTCGATTTAGGTTTTAAGTTTATAAGGTATGAAAGTGTATATAATCATATTTCAAAATGAGATTTTGTCTTGATTCTAACAAAAAAATATCTTCTTAAAACGATAATTTATTCATATTATTTTAATTCATATCATGTTAAGTTCTCTCCATACAATTTATGGATCAAATCTAATTTTTTATTAAAAAGATAAAGATAAAAGACTAATTTTCATAAAAAATCGAGGACTAATATTTAAAATTGTTAAGATTCATTTAAACTTTTGTTAACAATTAATTTTTTTTATATATATACAAATTAGAGATCGACTCTAACTACATATTTAAAAATAAAATCACCTATTAATGATTTCTTATTTTTATTTTTTTAGTACACCACCACCACCACCATGTGATATAAGTTTTATCCATTCTAAACAAGCATACCCCACTTTTTTTTATCACCATCCACACGCCTATTTTATTTTCATGGGAGACCTTCTTCATCCTTATCCACTTCATTGTACGAATAGGGATGGTTGTTTCCTGTTATATAGACTTCTCTCGGAGTGTGCATTCTTTATTATTTTGGAAATGCAGGGAATAAATTAAAGGAGTTAACTTAAAAAAATTAGTAAATTCAAATGGTTATATAAGTTTAGCTATTTCAATTGTTATGCCTTGTGTAGTTAGCGGATAGAAAGATATAGAAATAAATTGTACGTGCTGGAACATATTTAACACAAAATTTTGCCCTTCTCAATATTTGCTACAAGATTTTATTAATAAGTTTTATATTACTTGTCGTATGAAAAATTTATGGTTTTCATCATAAATACTCATAAATTTGATAGCACCTGACGTATTTAATGTTTGGGAAGGGAGAAATATAGATATACGTATACCAAATGCTTGAACTTAACTCTTTCAATGGGAGTAGATATACAAAGTGAGAAAGAAAAGACGTATCTATTGCGATTTAAAATAAATTGTGTTTGCGAGATTTTCTCTTTATACATTTTTATTTAAAAGAAGATAAATATAAATTTTTCACGTCACAATGTGATGTGAAGTTTGAACATAAAAATGTATAATTCCTATTTTCATACATCTTTCTCAAATTAAAATAGGGATGACACAGTTATCTGTATCCCCAAATAAAACTCAACAGAAAATGAATTTGGGAACTCTCGTGTTTCCTTCCTAGAGTTGCGTGTTTTACTTTCCCACTCATCTTTTAGAGTGGATAATATGCCCGTACAATAATTAAACAATACGTGAAATTATTCAAATACTTTTAACTATTTAAATAAAAATTATTTTGAATAATTTTTCATTGATACACTAATTTCTTTCCATTAATTCCGTTTTCTTAATGATTCTTTACGCATAAATCTATTCAGCTGCGGTAAGTGGTAACCAACATTAGTTTCCTAATTTCTATTTCCTATGCAAAATATTGTGGGTGATTAAAAAATTTAAATAAAATAAAGTGCAGTACTAATAAAATTAAAATATTACTAGTAACCCCAATACATTATAATCCAAGGACGAAGGTATATCCTATGATATTCCTTACAGAAATTCCCCAGTTCAGGCATGAAAAAGACTTCACATTGACGTACATCAAATTTGAACTCAATAAATAACAATAACCAAAAAAAACTAGTTGTGGGTTGTGACCAATGACTAAAAATATATGCTAGCACGATTTGTATCAAATCGAGATAATTCAATTGATTGTAATTATATTTAGTAAAATGATTGATGAGTTCATTTTTAACTAAACAAATGCTAAAATTTGTTGAAGAGCTTATTGAATTAGAAATGTTTATAGTAAGAGTAATCACTAAATGATTTGGTAAATATAAAAAAAATAATGTAAAAAACAACTTTGTATGATTTTTTATATATTTAAAAGGGAAAAACATGTTTTTAAATAATTATAATTTACTGTTCCAGTTAATTTTGAATTCTTACCATTTTTGTTATAAAACTCTTATAATTTTGATTAAGAGAGTATTCTATTAAAAATTTAAAATAAATAGTTTGATATCAAGGATGGTAATTGATTAAATTTATTAAAGTATTGGAGATAAAAAAAATAATGTTATTAATTTAAACTCTATTTTAAGTATAAAAAAAATGCTACAATTAAGATAGTAAAACATTCTTGTTACCAAACACCTCTATTTTAGTTGAACAAATTTATAAGCTAGTTAATTAAAATAAACAACTTACCATACACACTCTACATTTTTACCCCTAAAGTATAAAAATGCAATTCATTACATGACATTTTGGTTAACTATGTGTACAGAGAAGGGAGATCCCTAATAATTACATTAGGAGTAGTTTCTGATATAGTTAAGACCTAGTTCATTCCTCTTTCATATTGAACTTCACAAAGTGGTCCAATTGACAATGAAATTAATGGGAAGGGCAAAAGGACCATAAGCGTCCAGAATATCTTAAGAATACAAGGTTTCTTAAAACTAATGGAAGGGAAATTAGCAGAGACCTATATATCTATGAGCCAATGTTCCCATTTGAGAGTTTATAAATAGTACTATAGTACTTTTTTTCTTTCTTGTTATCTAATCAAGCTCAAACGATTTCTAGACCCTCTAGATATACTAGATTTGGTTAAAAA